GACCTTGCTTTCTCAACTTGGTCGGAGCGTCAGGGATACCTTATGTAACGTATCTTTGTCAATTTGATAGAGTGTAATTCTGTGCTTACGATAGCGCCTGTCACTGACGATGCCGGCGAAACGTTTATCAAAGTACCGAGCAAATGGTCCAATGCTGGAAATCACGAATAATATGGCACAGGACATGGTACTAGGTACGTTCCACAAGGTCGAACCAACACCATAGAAGAGAATGTCACCGGATTGACTTCGCTTGTCTCTTTTACGAGTTGTAGCTTGGCTCTGAGAATGGCGAGACTCACTGGTGATGAAGCGTCTGGTAATGTACCAAGTCCACGGTTCGACGCTGGGACTTGTGATAATGACTATAGCAGAGGACTTCGGGCAAGGTGTGTCCAACTAAATCTTTCTGACACTAAGTCAAAATTGCCAAAGTAAGTCATCCCACTCCTGCCAATTTAGGTTTTATAATTACAGATATGAAGACCAAGATGTTGTGGCCTCTGTTATCATCGCTGTCTCCTTTCGATTAATGGAAGTGGGTTGACCTCGTCGCAACTTGGTCTTTTGTTCAGGGAGACTATGTAGAACGCACCTAGTCCGAAGTTGTCTGCCATAGTAGTTGTCTTGTTTCCCAGCATCTGACAGTGGACCTGATACATTCTCAAACGTTTCGCCGGCATCGTAGTCAGCATCATCAGTGAGCCTTGCCATTTTCCGCACCAAGATACGAATTCATCAGAGACAAGAGTCCACTGTCAGATGCTGGCAAACGACTTCGGACTAGGTGCGTTCTACATAGTCTCCCTGAACACAAGACCAAGTTGCGACAACGAGGTTAACCCACTTTTATTATTACAGTTAGAATATTAAATGAGAAGATTAAAACGCATATAATTCATTTACTAACATCGTAGATATGCAGACTAAGATGTCGTTGCCTTTTGTTGGTCGCATTGTCAAATATTAAGGTCCATTTGCCTTTCCTCTACTTTGAGCGTAATCCGAGTTTGTTTGCCCATATCTTCGCATATTTGGCTTAATTTAGGGATAATACGCTATATTAATTTTTAACCGTCGAAATAAATTCACACTAAATATAACAGTTGTTTGACCTTGTTGTCGCCACATA